TAGCGCATTTAATATATTTTAGTTTCGTGCTATAGTCTGTTTAACGCGAGTTAATAATAGGTCCAATGATGCATTAAAAAATTAAAAACACGGCGAATTAAATTTTTTACATTCTCGTGGGTTAATTTCAGAACATACTAAAATATGTTTATTGTTTAAATTATATCGTTGTTGTTTGGAAACAGAAAATGTCATTAATCATCAGGTGAATTTATAAACCACAACTATTGTAGAAATATCGTAAATAAAATGGAATTCCGTAACACGAGCACAATACATAGATATGTACACGTAAAATAGATGGGTGAGCCACAATAATTAATAAGTATAATCTGATAATTATGTCACTTATTATATAATCATTATAGCCTTTATGATGCACAGTGCAGCGATGACCCTTCTATTGACCCAATGTGACATAATTATTTAATAGACATAGACGTTGTAAACAATGCGTTCCATTGTCGTATTATTAAAAAACCGTTAATAATTAGTTATTTATATGGGTATGGCTCAATAGCTTATATATTATTATTATTCACCATCATGAATTATTTTGATGCATGGGAAACGGCCTTTTTTTAAATGATGCAATACATATTACTATATAAACATATAATATAATTTTGTGTTGTTATTATCATTACTCATCCGAATAATACTTGATAATTATACAGGTACATTTGGTAAATCGATCGGTGTTCGTTCATTATGCATGTGGATCGATGCGATAAAAAAAAAAAGTAATCAACGTGTAAAACTAAATTACTCATGTTTTCGGTCAGGTCAACATGACATCAACAATGACGTGTAAAATAGCAACAGAATACATTACCTATTATTATGTATAGGCTCGTCATTGTTGGTATTTTTGTTGAATTCCAAAAACCACCCTTTGGCATGATACTATTATATTGATTATTGATATTAGATGAATGTACATAATATTTGAAATATGTGATTCATTATTAAAAACAAATAATTACAGCATGTTATTAATGATCAAACTACCTACCTATAACATACATAAGCGTTATCGATAAACCGATGGTTATACACTTATACATAACTATTGACCAGCATATACGAAAAAAATTTAGTAGTTTTGCTTTTTTTCGGCATTGACTCTTGAAACGATGAATGGAATTTTAGACACTCACAACGTTTTTACGAAAACTGAATAATGTGTAAGAGTTGTAAATTTTTCTCAAATTTTAACGAATGATTATAGTGGTCATCCCGTGGTCGACCCGGTGTGATAGACATATTATATTATTACTTTTTATAGACAGCCCACAGTGTTTCGATATTATAATATTCTATAGGTCGATCTGTAAGATATTGCCAGCATTAACTATTCATAATAAACCATAATAACATTTTTGAAGTGTTACAATCATTTACTTACCATGAATTTTTCATTACCGCCTAATTTATTACGCAAGGGAAATAAAAACCCTTTAAACTATTTTACGAGTAGGTACTAAAAGCAGCAGACTTTATTGTGTGTATCGTTATACTATAATATAAGAGCACTGCTAAATGTATTATTTCAAGAACTGAATATTAGGCGCTTATATATACCGACCGTCTATGCCTTACAGGAAATTATAATCATAATAATAAAACTAATGAGTAAAGTAGGTATATTTTTGAAAGCACTAACTGAAAAACATACATTTTTTATTCACATAATATTCGTCTTAGTTGTTGTGCGTTTTTCATCATATAATTACCATCAGACAAGACGTTACATTTAGGTGTACAACTATAATATTATATTAGACCTGGGGAGAGGATATGAGGTACATTATATTACATTTTATGAATTTCATATCAATTCGACGGTATAATAACTACATCGTACTAATGTATTATACTATTATGTAACTCATCTATATTAAGCACGAATTTAATAAATCATTTTTAACTGAATATAAGCGATACAGCCATACTAAATTTAAATAATATTCAATCTCGTTCCAGATTGAAATATAAATATTCTTGTTACACAATAGTAATATGGGTAGCCAATAACCCGAAATGTCATACAAGTGTCACACCTGTTTGTTGGTGTATTATACGACTGTTGGAGTACGATAATAATGTACCACAGTGATGTGATTTATCAAAAAACTATTCTTTACGCTATTACTTATTTGCACGTGCAACCATACAAGAAAATTTACCTCGCACACAATATAATATTTTGACGTCACATAACCCTGTCGTGTGACTATCGTTTCGAAGTATGTGCAAGTCGAGCCATGTACAAAAAATGAGTTAAAATTGAATAGCGATCGATAGGGTCACGACTTCACGAGTGTGCAGTGATTTTGATTTAATACGAACACGATGAATTGAAAAAAAAATACAAAAACAAAAAACCCCTATATAATAATAGTATATAATACTGATGATAAAAATTAGTCTTGGTCTTGGGGTCTCTCAAGACTCTTGCTACAAGACCAAGACCAAGACCAAGATTTTGAAAGTCATGGTCTTGTTTTGATCATCACTAGTATATAATCTATTATATAAAAATAAGTCCGGTTTTCCTCCCTGACGCTATAACTCGAGAACGCACGAACCGATTTCCACGGTTTTGCATTCGTTGGAAAGGTCTTGGGCTCCGTGAGGTTTATAGCAAAGAAAATTCTGGAAAATTCAGGAAAAATTCAACAGAAAAGTGGGGAAATTGTTTTTCACATACAGCGCCATCTATTATACATAGCATGTACTTCAAACCAATAGCAACGGTGCGTGATAAAGTGTTTGACGGATAGTTGTTTATTATATAGTTGACGGATAGTTGTTTACATTATTCTCTGCTCAGTTAATTTCATTTAAGCTAAAATAAATTATGTAAATTATGTGGATCGTGCATTTGAAGTTAAATTCAACACTCTGTCCATAGTCCAAAATGCCTAGAGAACGACGTGCGAACATCGGCCGCCGCACAAGACATGCAAGCCAGCAACAAGTATATTCAAGGAACTTAAGAGAAGAAAGACAAAATATAATAAGAGAAAATGACCGATTGAGACATCGCGTGAGCACACGAAGATCATTGGCATCATACAATCGCTTGGCATTCCAATATGATCCCACTGCGAACTACAGTGATGATGAAAATTTTGATATTGGACGAATGACGACTATATGCCGATATTGCAATGCGTTAAAGTTCAAAAGAGAAACGGTTGGATTGTGCTGCGCAAGTGGAAAAGTCAAACTGGATCCATTACTTACACCACCACATCCACTGAAAACATTGTTTGATGGAAGTGATCCCGATTCCAGCCATTTTCTTCAACACATCCTTGAATACAATAACTGCTTTCGCATGACTTCCTTTGGAGCTAATATCATTCGAGAAGGCGGCTTCATGCCGACTTGCAAGGTAAAAGATACAACACACATAACCAACACATAATTGCAACACATAACAACTTCATATACACCACACACTACACAAACACACGATTTAAAAGGTATTCATGAACAAATTTTAATGATTATTTGCAATTACAGATACAAGGTCAAATATATCATTTGCATGGTTCAATGGTGCCAACCACACCAGATGAACCGCATCAATTTCTGCAAATATATTTCATTTCGTCGATGGTGGATCAGCTGAACGTGCGGTGCAATATACAGGGAGCACAACAGTTAAAGAGACGAATTATTGAACAGTTGCAAGCATTTTTTCACGCTAATAATGCTGTGGTTAATATGTTCAAAACAGCATTGGAACGAATGCCATCGGATACGCACAAATTTGTCATAAGAGCGGATTGTACTCCAACAGGTGAACATGTGCGAAGATTCAATGCACCCACCGTTAATGATGTTGCTGCAATTATTGTTGGCGATCCAACTAAATCACGAGACATTGTCGTTCAGCGAAGAAGCAATATCATGCATCGTGTAAACGAGACACATCGTTTGTACGATGCGTTACAATATCCAATCATTTATTGGCAAGGGCAAGACGGATACGACATCACGTTGAAGATGGTCGATCCAATTACAGGTACAATATTCACACACTAATTATTTCCATTATTACTTTTATTGGTTTCCATTAACAATTCATTTAATTTTGCATTTTCAGGAGTATCAACGAATAATAAAAATCTAAGCGCAATGAATTAATTACTAAGTGCTGCACAATTTTCCAAACAATTGTTAGATCTTGGAAATGGAAAAGTCCCAGTTGATGCGACATCTGGATTAATTACTCTTACCAACGACTTTTGCCGATTTGTAGACACTCAATTAGTTCTTATTGAAAATGTTTTCCCAAACATTAGTGAGAATTATAAGAATTATGCTTGGTTAAGTCAACGAGCAATTCTTGCAGCAAAGAATAATGATGTCCACGCACTGAATTTCACCATTCAATCAAAAATTGCTGGCGATTTGGTGACATACAAATCCGTTGATTCAATAACAAATCCCGATGATGTAGTAAATTATCCAACGGAGTTTTTGAACTCTCTGGAGATACCAGGATTTCCACCACATAACTTGCAACTGAAAGTTGGTACAGTTATTTTGATACTGCGTAATTTGAATCCACCGCGACTTTGCAACGGTACTCGACTTTCGGTAAAGAGACTTATGCCGAATTTAATTGAGGCAACCATTATTAACGGAAAGTACGCAGGTGAAAATGTATGTATTCCTCGAATACCAATGATTCCGACTGATCTTCCGTTTGACTTCAAACGATTGCAATTCCCAGTTCGCCTTGCGTTCGCAATGACAATTAATAAGTCGCAAGGCCAATCGCTTAGTGTTTGCGGGATAAATTTGGAAAATCATTGTTTTTCACATGGACAGTTATACGTTGCGTGTTCACGAGTTGGGAAACCATCCGCTTTGTTTGTGTTAACGTCAAACCAAAAAACAAAAAATGTGGTTTACCAAAGAGCACTACAATGAAACAATTAAATAACACTTCATTTTAGTAGGTAATTGAAATGAATTTATTAAATATTTTCCTTTTCAAATATATAACAAAAAAAATTCGTTCCACGGGGAACTACTGGCAACGTCTGCCTGAAATCGCCTGCCAACAATATCATCAAGCCGCCAAAGATGTTGTTATTTCTCCGAAGATCCTTCAGTGTGAAGTTAAGTGCTTCAAGTGATTTCTTATGTGCCATTGTGCACTCATCCCAAACAATGAGCTTGCATTGCATTAACAATTTTCCCATTGCACTGGATCGGGAAATATTGCACGTTGGAGTATCAATTGTGTTTAAATTGAGTGGCAACTTAAGCGCAGAATGTGCAGTACGACCGCCATCTAGAAGAGTCGCCGCAATTCCAGATGATGCTAACGCCAAAGCTATGTCACATCTTGATCGAATAGTGGCCAAAATCAATGAAATGACAAATGTTTTCCCTGTTCCTCCAGGTGCATCCAGGAAGAATAGACCACCGGTATTATTGTCCACCGCTTGCATTAATGTTTTGTATACTTGTTTTTGCTGTTCATTCAGCAACGGAACATTATTTCTAACGAATTCCTGCAATGTATCAACATTGTATTGCAGCTCTCGATTTAATTCTTGGTTGAATGCATCGTGCATCGATCGATTTGGCGCAATCATTCCTACTTCAATCAGTAGCTTGTTTGCAATAGTCAAGCATTGATCCTCAATCAGAATCAATCCTTCATTGTAGATTTCATCGGTTATTTGGATGTCAGGATTATTCGTTTGAATACGCAAGCGATGCAAGATATCTTCACATATGGCGTATTTGTATTTGTTCCATAACTGAATTGGTTGTGAAGGAAAACATGTGGTGATGATAATTGCGAACAGCGTTCGTATTTGGTACGCATTTGATGAAACAACTGAATCTGCAAGTGTTAAATCCCAATGAGAATCGTTCTCCAGCAAACCCAATAGTTGACATGCTTCTCGATATGTTTGGCATTGGTGGCCATTCACAGTTTTCAAATGCGCAAATGATTTCGGTCCACGTACATTTACTAACAGCAGTCGCAAATAAAAACATTCATCGTTTCTAGGATGAACAGTGTACATACGACCTAGTGCATCAGTTACAAATATTTGATTGATTTGGCCGAATGAAATAAAATAAAATAAAATACATGCTATGTATAATAGATGGCGCTGTATGTGAAAAACGATTTCCCCACTTTTCTGTTGAATTTTTCCTGAATTTTCCAGAATTTTCTTTGCTATAAACCTCACGGAGCCCAAGACCTTTCCAACGAATGCAAAACCGTGGAAATCGGTTCGTGCGTTCTCGAGTTATAGCGTCAGGGAGGAAAACCGGACTTATTTTTATATAATAGATATAGGTACAAGTGTTAACAACTGATTTGGTTAAAAATAAATATTTTCGACACAGAACCATTCATTAAATTATGTCAAAAAAATAAATATATTTTACTAAATTTATTATAGATATTTTAACAAAACCGGTTTTTGGAATACATATTTTGTATAATGATTTAACCGACATGTCGAGCATCAATATCATATTCCATCGTTTTTGTGATTTAGTATTAGTTTCCTAAATATTTGTGCACACTCTTCTCATAAAATCTCTAAAACCGTGACAGTTATTGATGTAAGGGCCAACAGTTTATGTTTAAATGATACAGATTTTGGTAATTTAATCAAAATCCCAAGTTGCAACCATCGATAGATACATAAGCCTGAACTATTCGGATAGCTTGTGATGCTACCTAAATAAGGCATTAAGGCTGAACGGCGAATGAAAATTGTCACATTAGAAACTATTTGGTTAGGTATAATAATATTATAACCATTACTGTACCATAATTTACCTAGTGTACCTACTTATGATTAAGTCTTCAATAATATAACTAAATAAAGAGTTCCTAATACACCAAGTAGAATACACTATACTATACTTATAAATTATTATAATTTATTAAATAAAAAAAAAAACAAATTACAATCCAGTATCTATACTTACAAATACAATATTAATGATAGTATATATTATTTACGAGTTGTGGTATGTTAGATTTTTATTTCGACGCAGTGTCGACAATACGACTACAATATAATACATATTGTAGTCATCGTGCCTCTACCAGTCTACCATATTATACCTATAGGGTATATTAAACTTGAAAGGCAAAATGTCGCGTCACCTGCGGTGGCGAAATCCGTTTTTGCGCTCCACGATCATAGCAGTACAATAATAGTTACAACAATATTCGCCGTCGTTGGTATTTTTTTTCCTTTTGAAATAATCGTCTTCCTACCGGGGGATTCGCGTGTCACCGTCACCGTCGACGAAAGCGTCTGTACACACATTATATAGTTTCGATATCTCTATATTATATACAATAATAATATATACGTGTGTTAAAGTTCACGCGAAGCCGAGTACGCTGCAGCGAGAGTACTATACCTCTATAAAGGTTTTTCATTTTTTTTCTCTTACAGAAAGGCGCGTACAGAGTAGAATATGGCCAAAGAATAACGTCTAGTAAATAAAAACTCAAAGTGCACACCGATATAGAGAGAGCGTGTGATAGAGAGAGAGAGAGAGAGGGGGGAGGGGGGGCGGGATTTGCGTACTCTACAAAGTCATAAAAAAAAAAAAAGTAAACGGAAAGAGAAAAACTAAGGGACCGTTGAAATATTCATGTATGCGTATATGATAAACAAACACGACCGAATTGAAAATGTGAAACAGAATTATTGTATGTTTTAATGTCATAAAGTGTACGAGACTACTTCACACTTGCGCGCGCGCCAGAGGTGCCCATGTGGGGAGGGTTCAATACCACACCGTGTGTGTATTATTATAATAATAACACTATATGTATATGATCACATCACAATCGTTATTGATAATAATAATGATAATATGTAAATCTTTACGCGTCTCGTGACAATAATGATCAGACGGATCGGCGAAGTTTTAATGACGCTCACTATATAACCACTGCAGGAGCTATACATAATAATATTGTGTGGATGCACACTGCCTTTGCCTTTTTTTTTTTTGTTTTGTTTTTACGTCTAAGACCTCGTCGAGGGGTTTTAGATTATCGCAGTGGTATTATTGTCACGGCAAAGGCGGTAAAACTCCACCCTCGAAAGGAATCGTATAGTAATTCCGACTTTTAATTCTTGTACACGTCTCAGACATGAAAGGGTTTTTGGATTTCGCTCAATATTATTACCTCACATATTAAGCCCGCTAGGAAAATGTAATAATAACAATGCGAATAATAGAGAAAAATAAACGAGTGGTAATTTATTAATTTTTTTTTATAACAATATGACATATATTATATAAGTTATGTGTTATTTAAGGACGTCGACTTTTTTTATACTCTCGGTTATGAATAATATAATATATTCGTTTTAAGCGTGCGTAAATATCGTGTTTTACACTGGTATTTTTAACTTCCGTGATTATTGCGTTTTTTATGGGTACCCACTGCACATTTTTTATTTTTCAATTTATTATTAAACCGACTTCCGGACATGTGCATTGAAAATAGTAATAATATCGAGTCTTATTATATTATTTGCTTGAAACTCAACTCTTTGATTTGTCGTTAAATTAGTCTCATAAATACCTATAATATTAATAATATTATGTTTCAAAAGAGACATGTTATGCAAGAATGCCATAGTATTCGAACCTTAGGTATTGTTAACTGAAAAATAGAATTCCGAAAAAATGTGAAGTTTGAAAATATAGACATTAAATTTGTCCCGAAAATAATTTTATTCGTCTTGTGAGACGGGTTCGCGTAAGGTCTTTTTTTGTCATACCTTTTTCTATCTCCAGTCGTGACCTTTTTTCGTTACAATATTTCCTATATATACCTAACCTATACGTTTATATTTTTTTTACCATTATTTGACTTCCATATTTTGCAGTCTCACCGTTTTTTATTTTTTATATGCATATACTTATATTTTGTTCCTTTCATCTGTCACTATAGTTTCGTATCCTATTTGTGTTTCTTATTTTAATACACACATACACACACACACACACTCACACAATGCGCGCAGTCGTCGTCCTTCAATCGTTTTATTGACGTTCGTTTCGCACACACACGTCAAGTGATTTTTTGGCGTGCCTACAACACTGCGAAAAATAAAACGTTTGCGTATAATGAAGAGTGACGTGGTACTCGGGAGAGAGGTGAGGGGAATGATCCCAGAAATCTTTGGACCATCGCGACTGTCCATGTAAAATAAACTCTCAGAATCAATCTGATAAATTTTCCGATTTTTCGGCAGACCAGAGGAAAAAAAAAAAAGGTGAAAGAAGATGGCATATAAAATCTATAAACCACCATGACCATCACGCTCCGACTAAATTTACCGCTTGGACGTTTTTACGGTCACAGGTAACGTACACACTAGTACCCATACAATTAATTGGGAACCGAATCTTAATAGAAACTTGTAAGTAACAACAGTGCGTGTAAGTTCACGTTAATATTCGAAATCGATGAGTATGACGGTAATTGATATTGCTTATCGCCGGGAATTATGACTTTCGACCGCGGTACGTGACGTTATTCTACGAACCCCTTATACTTTGGCACTCTGACCAGGAATACAGATCCTGCTATCTGAAACGAGTGAGAGGGATATTTTGAATTCTAATCTTAATAACTACAGTCAGGATTTAAAAAAAAATAAAGCTAGAATATCCGATAGCTGTAATCAAATGAAATACAGTAGAAATACTAGGAACACTTTTGGACTAAGGTGAAATAATATGTGAAATAACAGATTGGTATTTTTATGTATACTTAGGGGCTGTCCGTCCTCAGACCTATAACATTATCAATAATTATCCGTGATCCTAATAAACGGCTTTTTACTGTATTGAAACGTTATCAGGAAGACGGATTAATACTGGGATCGCTGTCGACGCCTGTCGTACTTATGGTTAGGCGGGTTCCCTTTACCTGGAGTCGGTATTTCCCGATATTTCGCATACGTTTTGCTTTAAGTGAAGTGTATTTGAATGTATATGATAATATTAGTAGAAGCTGTACTTATCAGTGAATACAGTTTGCTATACTAGCGTATAAAGTTTCGATAGCAAAATTAATTTATTAGAAAAAGTAAAATATATAAGACTATTCCGTCTATTCCCTGAGCGCGTTTTGTTGATTTGCTTCCCCAATACTTTTCCTATTATACCTATTCCAGTACGTCAAAGAATATTATTATAATATTATAATACCAAGAAATACCTAAACCAATAGACCCAACCGGAAACGCGACTGTGGTGTAGCTAGAATGCCTATCCAGAACGCCGTGTTATCGTAATGTGTACACTATCGATAAAAAAAAACTCTTAATATAACAATATGATGCGCTTACGGTTATATAAACAATATAATTAAAATGGGATTTACAAGAAGACAGTCCACTGTCGGATCGGGATCACCGAGTAACAGCTATTATCGGACTTGAAAATCGGATATAAGTACTGCTCAGCGACCGACGTCGAGGCGGAATGAAAAACGAGCCCGGGAAACGGACGTCGTGTAGGTGTGCAACAATAATAATTATGATAATTATTTTTATGATGATGATGATGATAATAACGACAACAATTGTAGTAATAAGGTGGCCGGGGTGTCGTCGGGCATGGGTTTCCCTACATGGGCAGGTAATCGGTGTTTGTTTCCGCGCGGTTATTGCCATTTGTACGGTACGCGTTTTCCCCGGATAGTACCCATAATAATACGACCGTCATTATACTCGTACTGCATATAGTATACGTTTATTATCATTATTATTATGATCTGCACACCTATTAATTATGTCGTAAAACGCAGTAACGAAATCGAAAACCCACGAGATTGGCAACATAGGTAACACGTAAAAAAATATATATATTATATTATATATTCATATCAAACGACGACGGACACACGTCTTACTGTGGACAACGTAAGCGTTTTCGAGCTTTAGCAGTTTGTAAATATCATATTTAAAACGACTAGTCTATTACGGTCAGTTAAAGTAGGAAAAAAACTGTAAACTAC